CGCACGCTGGCACCCAAACACGCTTGAACACATATCCAGCTCACATGTACCCAGCTCCTCCTGAGAGGCTTTGCACACAAACGTTAGTCTCTGTCGCCTGGACCCTACTGCCCTGGCAGCAGTAAAATCGCCAACTTGGCACCTCCTGGGACTCCTGGGAAATGCCCTGCTCCGGCTAACACTCTGGTCCTTTGCTTTATTTTATTGGTATTTTGACATAGCCTAGGCTTGCCTTGAACTCAGTAGGTAGCCGGCAATGACCTTGAAATCGATCCAGCTGCCTCCATCTCTCAAGTGCTGACCGTGTCTTATTTTGGTGCCTCCTTGCATACCTGCTTTGTGCCCTTCTGCTGTCCCTTCTCCTCGGGACAGCAGGCTCATGTTCGATGTATCAGAAAAAGCAGCATGTCATAGCCATTGTGTGTGTGCTGATAGCCACCAGACTTCCAGATCAGAGTTTTTTTGTGTTTTGTGACTTGTGGGTGGTTTGTCAACTTTTTGTTGTTTTTGTTACTAGAGGGTCCAGGCTGTCTCCAACTCTTGAGCCCAGGTGTTATCTTGTCATTCTCCCGTCCTGGGTTACAGGCAGGGATGGCTGCCTTTTAAACCATGCCCCCCACCCCTTTCTCCCCCCTGAGGTAGGGTGTGTTAACTCTGTAGCTCATACTGGTCTCAAACTCATGCCTCAGCCTCTGAAGTTCTGGGATTACAGGTGTGAGGTACTACATGCAGTGCCTAAATCTTTTGTTAGGATTTTAGGCTTTTCCAGGGTGTAAGTAAAGCCGAGAGGGAAGTGCCCATCTCTGGAAGCCCCCAGATAGAAAAGGCTTAGTCTCCCTTGTGGACAGGCCATTGGCTGCCAGCAGAATACACAAATGAAGCACCTCAGGTCACAGAGGTTCTGGGAAATGTCAGCCCTCCAGGCTGTAATTGCAAATGTGCCGTGACTCTTGGTCTTGGCCCTGTCACAAGAACAGGTTCCAAAAAATTGGTGAGTGGATGAGATACCCTCTTCAACCTAGGGGAGAGTCCTACACTTGTGGCTCGTGAAGGAACTGTCTGTTGGAATGGGGGACAAATCTGACAATCTGGTCAGCCTGTGTTGTGTTTCAGAAAAACAAATAAAAGAGAGTAGAAATCCTGTTATATGTGTTTTGGTTTTTTTTTTTTTAATATTTGCTTTCTTAATCTTAAGTGTCTCTGTGTGGGTATGTGCTGGGGAAGCTGCTTTTGTTTGCTGAACCTTCTCCCCAGCCTTGAACTTGGTGATTTTTTTTTTTAAATTCTTCTTTTGGTTTTTTGAGGCAGGGTTTCTCTCTGTAGCCCTGGCTGTCCTGAAACTCGCTCTGCAGGTCAGGCTGGCCTCAGACTCTGTTCTTCCTGCCTCTGCCTCCTGACTGCTGGGATTAAGGATGTGGGCCACCACTGCCTGGTGAACTTAGTGATTTTTAAGAACTTCCAAGTTTGTGATGACCAAGCAACTGAACTCTGGAGCCAGGGTGACCCATTGTTCCCAAGTTCATTCTCTCTCAGGACAAGCACTTGGGTGTGCTTTCTCAGCCTCACTCTGGATTTTGGCCACTGGGATAACAGCAAACATGATGCAATCAGAGGCTTGACAAGTGCTTATGAATTGGACTTCCTCTCTGGCTGTTCTTGGGTTCCCTGCCATCACTGCCACACTGAGAAACCTGAACTAAGGGCTGGGGATGAAACTCAATGGTGATGTGTTTCCTTAGACTTCCCCTATGAGGGCTCCGAGGTATGGCTCAGTGGTGGAGCCCCTACCCAGAATCCCGCAGTGAGGGGCTGGGGGCGTGGCTCAGTGGTGGAGCCCCTACCCAGAATCCCCCAGTGAGGGGCTGGGGGCGTGGCTCAGTGGTGGAGCCCCTACCCAGAATGCCCAGTAAGGGGCTGGGGATGTGGCTCAGTGGTAGAGCCCCTGCCTCGAATCCCCCAATGAGGGCTGGGGGTGTGGCTCAGTGGTGGAGCCCCTGCCTAGAATCCTCCAGTGAGGGGCTGGGGGCGTGGCTCAGCGGTAGAGCCCCTGCCTAGCATAGTTAAGGCTGCTGACACAAAGTGATCAAAGCTTTTGGTATGTAGCCTGGGCCATGTTTCAATTCATTATCCTGCTTCAGCCTCCCAAGCACTGGGTTTAAAGGTGTACTTTGTCCGGCTGGAGAGGTGGCTCAGAGGTTAAGAGCACTGACTATTCTTGCAGAAGTCCTGAGTTCAATTCCCAGCAACCACATGGTGGCTCACAACCATCTGTAATGAAATCTGGTGCCCTCTTCTGGTGTGCAGATAGACATGGAAGCAGAATGTTGTATACATAATAAATAAATAAAACCTTTTTAAAATCAAGTCCAGCTAAAATCTCCCCCTGAGCTTCAAGTCTCATCTCCTAAAAGCAAGGATGAGAAGGCTAGTGCCGGCTGTGCAGAGTGAGGCC